TAGGGAAAGGGTTATCTTGAAGATAACTGTCCAGACTAGTGCTCAGTGACTCCTCCTTACCACACATGGTCTAGTCAGAGCACTGCCTGACTCTGTCCACGTGCAAATCAACATCTCTTCGTTCAGTTCTTCAAAACAACTCTGGTCATCTTGCCTTGTCCTCTAAGGCCCCATGTCAGTGCAGGCAACCACAGGACTCGCACAGTGCTGATGCACAGCCTCCCCTTGGACTTCCCAGGAGAGGATGAAATGTGAACTTCTGAATGCTGAGCTGGAATTTTTTTGGTGGTCAGAAGTTGTTGGGTGGTTTGCTGAGTAGGTTTTTCTCTTTTTCTTTTCCTTCCTTAAGTGGCATATTGGTGAAGGCTCCACTATGGGTTGTCTTTGTATCTGTCTATCAGCAGAAGTTGAGATTCCAGTAAGTTCCCTTTACTGGAATCAAAACTGGCTCCTCCACTTTGGAAGAGGGAGTCCCTGCTGTGTATAAACTGTATTCACCAGCAATACACACAGCCTGTATAAACCCTGCAGCAACAGTGAGGAAAAAGAAAAAGCCCTCCATCAGATGCAGGCTGGGCTTTTCCTGTGAGACCTTGAGTCAGATTCATGTTTTGAGCTCTGCTTTCCCATCATGTACAGTACTTGTAATGTTAGATGAGGAGTTAGTACTTCTGAAAAACCTTTGATACTCTGCTTCCTCTTGCCAATTCTAATGGATGCTTCTCTGAATACTTCTTGTGATCCTTGTTCAGATATGCCATAGCTGACAACGCCTACCGGGTGATGTGCAGTGAGTACAACAACCATTTCATCCTCATCTCTGGGGAGAGTGGAGCTGGGAAGACAGAAGCATCCAAGAAGATCTTGCAGTATTACGCAGTCACCTGTCCAACTACAGAGCAGCTGCAGATTGTCCGCGATCGTCTGCTGCTTTCCAATCCTGTTCTGGAGGTAAAAACTAAATAAAGGTACAAAATGCAGAAGAGTTGACATTGGTGGCCTCAATCCACAGGACTTAGATGCAAGTCTGCACGCCTGCATCCTGGAAAGGCCTCCTGTTTTACATGATTTTGCACCTGCATACATAACATAAAAATTAACATACATCTGGCCTCTTGGCAGCACAACCTCTGAAAGAATGCTTGAGATTTAATGTCACTTAATGTTTAGAAAGTTAAACTTGGGTTTTATAGTGGAGGATAGCTGAAACCTGGGAGTACAAGGAAACTACACAGCATACAGCAGTTCCTTGTGGCTTCAGTTATAGGTCATTCGAGAGAGAATGATAATTAGTTTGTCTGAATCCCACATTAGAGGTAGGGAAATACATTCATTTAGAATCATAGAATCATTTAGGTTGGAAAAGACCTTTAAGCTCATTGAGTCCAACCATAAACCCAACACTGACAAGTCTACCAAGCTGGTATTTCTTTAATCCCACTAAATTCAGTAGAAGGACTCGGATGATGCAGCAAATCTTTATTTCTGGAGCTTTGTTCTACTGTGGGTGTCAGGTTCTCAGTAAGATGAGAAGTGACTTAATCTGTCTGTTTATCCACAGGCTTTTGGAAATGCAAAAACTCTGCGTAATGACAACTCAAGTAGATTTGGGAAATATATGGATATCCAATTTGATTTTAAGGTGAGAACAAATTTAATGGACTGCTATTAAAACAAGCTGTATCAGTGAACCTCTTGGACACTTACCAAGCAGCACAGGATTTATTAAGACTTACACTGCAGATTTCTGGCCCTGTTTTTACAGGCGTTGCATTTTGTGAGTAAAGTGACTGGTTATATATCCTGAAAGCTTCCTACTTTACTGGCAATACTGCCAGTGCTCAGTAGAAAGCCAATATAAATAGTTGTAAAGCACAAGTTATGCTAGAAGGACAGCAGACTCTTTAGTTACAGCTTGTACTGTTGTTGGATAAACTCTTAACACAAGATGGCAGATGAGGAGCAGCAGGAACGTGCTTCTCCTGACATTGCTCCTTGTTCCTAGGTGTGGAGGAACAACCATCACAATGATGATCTTTATATTTGTTGGTGTTGATCTGATTGCTTTGTTCTTCCAGGGAGCTCCAGTGGGAGGTCACATCCTCAGTTACCTAATTGAGAAATCCCGAGTTGTTCATCAAAACCATGGAGAAAGGAATTTCCATATTTTCTACCAGTTATTAGAGGGTGGAGACAAGGATCTCCTTTGCTGGCTTGGGCTGGAGCGCAACCCCCAGAAGTACATGTATCTCATCCAGGTCAGTGAGAGCTTGTCCTTCTCTCTGTATTTTACATCTGGAACTGCAGGGATTACATGGACCTCATCTTATAGAATTCCTTAGGTATGGTTATGAAGTGCACAGCTCACTTCATGGTAGTGCTCTCAGTTTCCTTTCTTCCTTGGTAGTGAAGAATACTTGGGTAGAAGATATTACCATAAAAATGGAAGATGACTATAAGCTTAAGCTCTCCACAAGACTTAGCCATTTTATGGTCATCATTATCCGAGCTCAAAGCTTCAAGTTATCTGAAGATTGTAGTATAAGCTGAAAGATCTGATCAAATGAGCCACTTTCAGGATTAGCAGGAGTGAAATAACTTCCTAGCTAGTTGCAGACCACGTCTATACAGGCTGAGGAAACTGGAAGTGGAAGTAGTATGCCCAGTAGTACGCTATGTTTGTTGCTGATAATAAAACTGCTTTGCCAATGATTTTTACTAATTCCCCTTTTGTTTGCTCTATAGGGTCGATGTGCCAAAGTGTTTTCTATTAATGACAAGAATGACTGGAAAATAGTCCGCAAAGCTTTTTCTATCATTGACTTCACTGAAAAAGATGTAGAGGTATGCATGTGAAAAGGGACTGAGCCTACCAAAGGGAATTTAAGTGCTCTGCTGTCTTTCCTTAAAAGGGATGGAAACAATCTTGCTTGGGAGAAGTGTTCAGGATGGAATAGGACATCATTTTGCAGGGGGATTGAGGGAGTGGGTGGGTGAAGAGCTCTATCCTTTGATACAGCATGATGGCAACTGGTGGTAACTTATCTGAAGCAGGTTGACTCTCTTCCTTCAGCCTAGCCAAGATGCTGTTTATCAGCTGGCATAGCAAAGATTAGTACCACCCCGTGGAGCTGTGGGAACGTGCTTTCTAATGGTATATCTTCTGTTATCAGCATCTCTTTGGAATTGTTGCCAGTGTGCTGCACCTCGGGAACATCCAGTTTGAAGAAGATAGCAATGGACACGCCATCATTCGCGATGGCACGCAGATCAAATGGATTTCAAAGGTATCTTTTCTGAAATAGTGTCAGCATTACAAGTGCTATGAAGAAAGCCTTAACCTTGCTGTGGTTTCCTCTTAAGGGCAAAAACATCTCTTCCCAAACGCAGAAGGATTGCTGTAGAAATAGTCAGCTCTTGTTATAACTGTTTGAATTGTAAGGCTGCTTTAGTAGCACGTTTCTCTGAAACTTCCTTACTTGTTGTTGCTCAGGGGTGAGCATAACTGGGAATGGGTTATGCCCTACTGATCACACAATACTGCTTATTTAAACTGAGTGCAAGTATTTCTTCCTTTCTGCAGTTACTGGGTGTGCACTTGTCCATTCTGCAGGAAGCTCTCACCCATCGGAAGATCGAAGCCAGATCTGAAGAGGTATCGAGTAGTCCTGTGTAGCCCCAGGCAGCTGGGAGCCACCCCAGCTAGTGGTCGTAGCAGATGAGAAGCTCTGTTCTTAGCAGTGTTACTGTAAAAATAGATCCCTCAGGTTGTCTCACTCCTCCTCTGCATGATCTTCCTCTTCTAGCCTGAGACATTAAACTAAAATGTATTCTTAGTTTTGGAGTTTTACTGCTGAACAAGGTAGTAACTATTAAAAAAGGTAGGAACAGGGACTTGCAGGCAGCCCTGTGTTGGAGCCATTTTCCTTTTGTTCAGTCCCTGGAGTTCTTTTACTAAGAACTTTTACTTTTGCTCTAATCTTCTGTTATTTATCATCTCTGACATATTTTTATCTATTTTTTAGGTCCTAAGTCCATTGAATGTGGATCTGGCATTCTGTGCTCGGGATGCAGTAGCAAAGGCAATTTACGGACGAACTTTCACTTGGCTAGTCAACAAAATTAATGGCTCTTTAGCCAACAAGGTTGGTTTCTTGTCTGGTGTCCTGTTAGACACTGAGTGCTTGATAATTGATGTAGGGGCATCCCACAGCACTGAGCTGGAAAACTGTTTAGTTAGGTGTGGAAGGTGGTATGTTAAATAGTTCTAGTAGTTCATTACCTGCTTTAAAGCAGTTATTCTATTGGTATGCAACACAAAGCTTTCCAAAAGAAAAAATTACAATTTAGGTGAAGGAAACAACATGAAACATGCAGGGAAGAAGCATCAGCTGAAGCAGCAGTTACAGAGGAATGGTGTTTTTAACAGGATTCAACTCGGAAAACAGTTATTGGCCTGTTGGATATCTATGGCTTTGAAGTGCTGGACACAAACAGGTAACAGCCGTTCCTGAGGCTTGGGGTGATCTGTCTTCATGCTGGTGGGGGAATGTGCTTGTTGACATGGCTTCTTGAGTGTGCTCTTGTCCCAGGAAGGCAAGCTACAGGTGATGGCAAAATCCGAGTGCACTGGTTTAGCTGAAGCCCCTGGTGAAAGGTTTAGCTTGGATGGCTTGCCTGGATTTGAGCTGTTGGTACAACAGTGTGGGAGGAATGTGTGGGTTTGATCTGTATAGAAGTGGGTTGTCTGGCTGGAAAACAGTTGGTAGTGGTGGGAGAAGTAAAACTGTCCATGAAATAAATAAAAACTAATGCTCATTTAACCACTCTGAAGCTTTGAGCAGTTCTGCATCAATTACTGCAATGAGAAGCTCCAGCAGCTGTTGATTGAGATGACTTTGAAAGCAGAGCAGGAGGAATATGAACTGGAAGGAATAGAGGTAATTTATTATTTTCCTCCTCCCTTTTTTATTTGAACTGTCATTACACTTAATGCTTTTGATCATCAAAGGAGAAGGCATCCTGCTTTTTTTGCAAGGAAAAGATCATCTTCTAGAACTTTTCATCCCTTTTTTCTCTTATTTCCAGTGGGAACCAATTCCATATTTTAACAACAAGATCATCTGTGACCTGGTTGAGCAGAAGCATAAAGGAATAATCTCCATTCTGGTAAGAACAGAGCCTGTGCTACTTAAAATGAAATGCTTGCCTATTAAAAAATTAAAATTTTGGTGTCTACTGAAGTCATATTTCTCACTGTATTTGTTTAAATGAACTACAGATAAAGGATGAGGCAGGGCATTGCCAAATTTGGAAGAAAAGGGCAGATTTTTACTAAACTTAATTTATCTTGACAGTTCTACTGCAAACAGATAAACAAAGCTCTAGATTTAACTAGGAGATTGCTTGTCTAAAATAGAATTTACCTCAAATTGTGACCAAACTCTTTGGTTTTGCATAACAAAGTAGTACTAAATATTAGCAAGGAGGGAGCAGTCTGTTCAGAGCAGTGTTTGATCTGGTGCCTGCTGTTTCAGGATGAAGAATGCTTACGACCTGGTGAAGCAACTGATTTGAGCTTCTTGGAAAAGCTGGAAGAGAAAGTAGGAGATCATGCCCACTTCGTGACGTAGGCATTTACACTCTGTCTCCTCTCACACAGGAAACTCTTCCCATCTCTTCCCCATAACGGAGTGTTGGGGAGGGAACAATTTTTGCAAAATCAAGCTGCCCATCCACTGTCTAACGATGTAATGTGCTGTGATGGTAGAGTATGACCTGGGGTCTTGGGGAGGTGGTGGTGGGGATTCCTGTCTCTCTACCTAGTGTGAGGCTGATCTTTGAGTCTGGTTTCATTCTGCACTAAAATTAAGGACTAAGGATTGGGTGGCTTTGGCCCATGAAGGTTGGATGGTTTTGGCCATAGATGGCTTTGTCCCCCACTGGCTCCAAGGAAGGCTGAAGATGTTGTGAGGAGGAAACCAATCCCCCAGGCTGTGAGGGGTACATAAATACTTTTCAAGAGTCCATCTGGATATGTGTGAGCTTTAGGTATGAAGAGGAAAGGAACATGCTCCTGTTCAGATCTCCCAGATGAGTGGTGTTTTGGTTTCTACTCAGTTTGTAGTATTTTGGGATTCAGTTTTGGTGGCAGATGAACACGTTGGCGCTGGGCTGTTGTGGCATTTCCCAGCAGGATCCTACCAAAAGGCTGTGACAAGTCATCAGTTCAGAGTCACACTGCTGAATTGTCACCGTTTCTACATCTCTGAAGTTCCTCACAGCCAAGTGGAAAACTTGTAGCCAATTTCCTTGTCACCACAATGTGCCTTTATACTGTTCTGCCTGATTAAAAGCTTTAAACAGAAGTGCTAGAGTTACTTAAATGGGATCTGCACTTGGTGATACTCTTGGAAGGAAATTTTGATGTACTAATGTGCTGTTGTGACAACTCTGCTGTTAGCACTGCTTGCAAAGCTGAAACTGAAACTGTCAAGTTGCTCTTTTTTTATTATTCTTTTTTCTTCTTTTCTAAAATTTTCCTGCTATTCATGAAAATTTTGATTCCTCCTTTGCATTTGGGTTCTTGCTCTAGGGCAAAATATCTCAAACAATCCTTCCCCTCTGTTTTCATTTCGAAATTGAAGAAGCTGGTGATCTTCTCATGTAGGTGATGAGAATGTATTTGAATTAATGTTATAGGAAGAAATCTTAATGCTTCTGGAAAGGGTGATTATTGACAAATAGCAAAGGGTGTGTCACAGGTATTTTGAGGAGTTTATGGTAGCTGACATCCATTCTCCAGCTCTGAATTTTGCTGTTAGCTGTTCAGAATGGACAGGTAGATGACAATTTGATTATGGGCCATAACTGTCAGCTGGTTTTGTGCAGGTGACTTTTTACAAGCTGAGGAAGCCTATTTGCTGCTTTTTCTCTTGGTGTTTTTGTTGTTTTGTATTTTTTTTCCTGCAGTCGCAAGCTTGCAGACCAGAAAACACGGAAATCCATTGACTGGGTGGATTTCCGCCTCCTTCACTATGCAGGAGAAGTCACCTACTGTGCTGTTGGTGAGTGTGAACAAAGTGCCAGTCTAGAAGTTACTTGAGCTTTTAAGCCAACGTGGTAGATAACTTGACATGAAAGTGAATTGCAAAATATCTGCCCTCTGACAGCACTGTTACTTGAAAGTCTTGAACATGAATGCAGTGTGGATTTTGAGGATATATGTTTCCAGATTTTGTGTTAAAGTGTGTAGCCTTCAAAAAGAATTAAATATTTTTTCTTTCTTCCCCCCCGCCCCCCTCCCCAGGATTTCTGGAGAAGAATAATGATCTCCTGTACAGAAACTTGAAAGAGGTAAGAAAAAAAAGGCTCTGAAGTTACTTTGCTTGAAGCAGAGATGTTTTGCAGATGTATTTAATCTCTATAGCAAACAAAAACATATATTTCTCCTTAGCAGTGTTCTTCAGGCACCTAGATGCACATCCTTACGGCTGTGCTGCTCCCCCTGTGGAGCACCACAGCAGGAATAGCACACCTGCTAAATGAGGCAGCTTTGCACTTCTCCCATTTCAGGTGCTGTGCAACTCTAAAAACGGCATCATGAGAGACTGCTTTTTGCTGTCAGAGCTGGACAACAGGAGGAGACCAGAGACTGTGAGATTCATCTTTAGTCTTAATTTTGAATATAAACTCAACTTCCCAAGTCTTGATTTAACCCACTGATCCCATCCTTAGTCCCGAATTCAGTAGATTTTGGTGGTGGTGGTGTTGATGTTACACCCCTGCTGTCTTCTTGCTAGTTGAACAGTGATGTTGCTGAGACAGCAGCTACCAATGTGACATGCCTTAATGTTGTTCTTGATGCATCCTTCTAAAACGAGCCCTCTGCCTCACATCCAACAGTAGTTAGTTTCTGAAGGGCTGCCTTGCGTGTCCAGCTGCATGGCAGGGCTTCAAATACTCCAGCTAAGCACTCTGTCCAGGTAGGTTACGATTTAACTGTGCTTCAGAACCTTTGTGGTGCTAATTCATGTGTCAGCCTTTTACTTCCAGTTTTAAAATGGGTGCAGGGAACAAGTTGATTTCAATTACTGCAGCGCTCGAGTTCTAAAGCAAAGAAACTTCTTTCAATGTCATCTTAGGTTGCAACCCAGTTCAAAAACAGTCTGACGAGCCTCATAGAAATCTTGATGTCCAAGGAGCCTTCGTATATCCGATGTATTAAACCGAATGAGAACAAGGAGCCTGGTAAGGCATTGAGCTGAAGAGACAGTTGAGACAGGGAGACTTTATCTTGTAGCTAAGTACAGGATATATAATATATATTTTTTAATATATTTATATTTAAAAAAAAATAAAAAAAATATATATATATAAAAATA